ACGAAGCAGGTGCAGATTTTGCAAAAAAATACCCACAGACACCAGCTTACTACACCCGGCTACACACGCCACTAAAATCCACATCCTGACACACTTATCGTTCATACCTTGAAAGCTGTGTCGACAATATCGGGCCGCAGCATGTATGATGGTCACACAGGTGCCGAGCTGCAGAAGAGCTCCACCATCCTCCTCGTCGCTTTTTTCGTGAACCCATGTTGGCACCATCCGTAGAGAACACGTGGCACATCAGTGCACTGGAAAGGGACACGTCTCAACATTGCTCCTGTGATTAATAGAAACAAAAAAACAACAACCAGAATGTCAGAGATGTTTTATAATAATCAATTCCATCACAATGATTTATTCACAAAACCTTTAACTCAGTGGAGCAAGAATGGAAGGAAAATGTCAAATATTTTTGGACCAGTGGGGTTTCAACTTGTGCAAACATTTGGCATGTCATCTTTTAAGTTAGCCCCCCTGTAATAAGAATGAGGTTGATGAATATAATTCTTTGTTATTGTCACCATAATCCCATTACCTAAAACCAGAACCAGCAATGAATTAAGAGAGCCTTACTTCACGCTCATCCTCTGTGCACACAGATCTGCATTTTGTCCTTCATTAACAATAAATGCAGCCAGTATAGTGTACACCAAGACTAATATAAGTGACAGTTTTCTAATCGTGGCAGATGCCACCCGCACATGTTCCGGGGACGAGAGTCTGCAGCATTGACCCACAGTGGAAAACATCACACTCTTCTGTACCGTGTAACCAAAAAAAACAAAACAAGTAAAGGCAACTAACCAGCCTTCTAACACGGACCCTATAATCGCACTTAATGCAGGGTCTGAGAGTAACAACTTACCATGTAACAGAGTTACAAAATAAAAGTAACTAATCTGTTCAATTACAGGCGAAAAGAACATACCTCCGCACTGTGATTACATTCTGATCAACAAATGGGATGACTTATCAAGGATTAACAATTTTAAAATACTTTTTTAAAAATGATAAATGATTGTGGAACTTATTTGCTTGTAATAAAATAATAATAAAAATACATAATGAAATAATTCTTCAGATACAATAAAGTCCTCACCACTGTTGTGGTGCAGGCCCTCATAAACCAGTTGCATAATGAATCAATTCACATTAAACCCTGGTCTTGAAATGAAAGAACTAATCTTATAGTTCATTTAACTGGTTCATTATCAACAGCCCTCCCAGTGAAACAAATACTGGGCGGCAAATTACACCATTATCTCTTGATTTATCATTCACTTATTATTTTTAAACTTCACCTGACATTGTAACATATTTATGGCCCTTCCCACTAAATCTGTGCCGATTCAAGTTGTAACTTGTCAATCAACCCAGCACCTGCGAATCTAAATAACACACACGTAAGACATTTGTTTTCTTCTCCCGTTTTTATTTGCATATTTGGTAACAAAGTAATCCAAAAGTAACGGACAAAGTAATTAAGTTGGATTAAGTTCACATGATGCGTAATCTGATAAAAATGACTAATTATCTGTTAAGTAAATACAGCCAGTAATCCTAACCCAACGTAACACATATTAAAGTAATGTACTTCAATTACTTTCTGTAACGGTTTGGATTACCTCAACCACAACAATATACACATAAAAACAAGAGAAATAAAAGTATTATTAAGTAAATATTCGATGCAAGAACATAACAACACAGAAAATGTAACTTTAAACAAGACTTTTTTAGCATCCAAAACTCCCCTCTGCTCTTTTTTAAAGAGAAACTGATTTATTTCTACAAGCCTTGTTTTATATCCTCAGCGCGTTACAGAGTTAGTAAATTTTTTCATCATTTCTATTTCCTTGAAAATGAAGTACAAGATACAAGATCATCAAATGACAATTAATATTAAATGGTTAAGATATTTTTAACTGCCGTTTTCCTTTGTTTTTTTTTACTACAATTCCTGCTCATTACTCAGTTGTCATTGTTATATTTTTGATGTTTATAACATTGTTTTTGTTGAATATATTATATATTTATTATTATATATAAAAAGACATAAATATATTGAATGGAACTTCACCTCCACACTATATACAGTAAACTGAAGGAAGCAAACGTTTCACAGGCCTTATGTGATATATTTTAGCGGCTTCACCCAGCTATAATATTCCCAGTCTTATTATTGTAGCTCATTTCCTTTATCGTGGTAGTTTCCATCATAATTTGCTAAATGAGCAACACTTGTGACTGACTGGCAAGATCTCATGAAGGGCCAGCAGGATCTTCCTGAGGTCCCTCAAATTATTATTTAAGTATTGTGATATGAAATGCATCATAATGGTTAATAACTGCCACAAACGACATTTTTGGGGGGGTTTTTTTTTTGCAACAGACTCCTGAACAACAGCAGGCCTTACTGCAGCCAACCCACGGACAAATGTGTATTCTAATCTGTGACTGCAAATCACAGTATAACTAATGCACAGTTATCCTGCTGTTGACTGAGCTAAAAACTCAACTGCACACTTCTGGTTGCTGAATGCCTCAACATGCTCTGGTTTTGTTATGGACACTAAATGCAGATGAACTACAGTTTTATCATTTAAGAATATCTGCCTCTGGCACTAATATTCAACTATAATCATTTGGACCTGTACTGCGTATCTATAAGTGTTTCATCTGGTGGATCTTAGAGTTAAACACATTCTTTTGCTGTTTTTACGTCTTTCTTTAAGTGACCATTACATTGTGATAAGTTTCTGCAACCTCTTTGAACTCCTCCAGGCAATCATCGCTGCAGATGGTCTTCCGTCCTCACTCCTCCAAGTATCAACACTGAGCGGTTCTTGTTGGCGGCAGACTGAGCTGCCAGTTTTCCCACAGACGGCCACGTTGCTTGTCTGCTGAAATCGTCCTGCAGGAGTCACTGCAGAACTTGTGGAGAGACCCCGTTCAGGGGTCAACTCACTTGGTGGTCTGTAGGAGATGAGGACTAAGCAAGAAGTGACCGTACGACAACGGAGTTTGTAGTTAAAATGAACTACATAATATAGAAGAGGCAAATTTATAGAAATATTGTGGGTTTTTTTGATTTTTATATATATATTTTATTTATAAAGTTTTGGGGGTCGGTTTTTTTTCTCTTTTGTAAATATAAAGTCTTTTCCTCTCATTAAAAGAACATACACTACTATTCCTCACACCTTCAGATTTTCTAGTATCACACAAATATTTTATACAGTTGTATTAATTTTTTTTGTTTTCATTATGTTGTCTTTTTTATTTTTCGTCCACCACACAACACAGAACCCCCCCCCAACATAAACGGCCACACCCCAGCAACCGGAAGCAAACGGGGGAAAAAAAAACAAAGCGGCGAAGATAAGACATATCAACACAGGGTGTGGGGGGAGGGGATATAGGGAAGGGGGAATAGTAAAAAAAAAAAAAAAGAAAAAAAAGAAATTTTCACTTAGGCATTATGTTATGTTATTGTAGTAAGTTTTCTTGATAATACTATATAGGGGGTAATAAAAATTTTTTTTTCCTTGGTTAGCCAATCGTTTACATATGCTATATTTTTACACCCCAGAGATATATTTTCGCGCCTCTGCAAATCCGGACCATCTCTATCCTGGTGGTGGCTCGGGTGTCTGTTGTTTGGTTTTTTTGCCAAAAGGCATTGGGGGAAAACACAAAGGCCCCACCCCCAGGTTTTTTTTTGTTTTTTTTTTTTGGGGTTTTTTTTTTTGTTATTTTTTTTTTTTTAACCCCTGTTTTAAACAAAAAAAACTTTTTTTGCTGCTTCTCTGGGGTTTTTTTTTTTCTCTTCTTTTTTTTCTTTTTTTTCTCTTTTTTTTTCCATTTTGCTTTTTGTTCTTTTTCTGTGTTCTTTTTTTTTTTTTTTTTTTTTCCAAGGGGGAAGGGGAAAGGAAAAAAAAAATTTGCCCCCCCCCCCCCACAGGTTTTTTTTTTTTTTGGAAAAAAAAAAAAAAAAAGTTTTTTTTTTTTTTTTTTTTTTTTTTCTCATTTTTTTTTTTTTTTTTGGGGGTTTTTTTTTTTTTTTTTTTTTTTTTTTTTTTTTTTTTTTTTTTTTTTTTTTTTTTTTTTTTTTTTTTTTTTTTTTGTTGGGGGCAAAAAAAGGGGGAAGGGGGGGCCCCCCTTTTTTTTTCCGAAAAAAAAAACAAAGAAAGGGCCCCCTGTTGCACCCCAGGAAGGAAAAAAAAACCCGGTCTGTTTTCTTTTCCTTGTTTTTTGGTGGGAAAAAAAAAAAAAAAAGTTTTTTTTTTTTTTTTGTTTGGGGCCACCCCCCAACAAAAAAAAAAAAGGAAAAAAAGGTTTTTTTTTTTTTTTTTTTCCCCTATTTATATCAAAATGGGGGGGGGGGGGGGGGTTTTTTGGTTTTATGCAAGACCAAGTTCCTCTTGGAAGATTGAGCGGGGGGATTAGTTTTTTAGGTTCCCGGCAGAAGGGTTGGACAGACGAAAAAAAAAACAAGATGCTCGCTTTGCATCAACTCTTTGCTTTTCATTTTATGGTGGGGGTCAATGAAAATAACTATGGGTTTTTTTCTCACCGGGTTATTGCTTTCAGGATGATGTTTGTTGAGGCCTCGCAAGATCCACTCCTAGGGGGGGGCCACCGCCCGCCACCCTCCCACACCCGCCATGAGAATTCTCTCAAGTGTAAAAAACAATTTTTATCTTATTCTCTTGGCGTTCATATTAAATTCTCCCAATCATAAATATCTAACTGTCTTAAAAAATATGCCACATTAACACAACTCAGCTTGATCATTTAAATATGCTTTGTTTTGGGGAGAAGAAACACACTATGATTATTTTCATTATCTGTTACTCTAGGTTGATGGGGAAATATATGTACATTAAAGGAAGCATTGTAATGAAATCGATCCAGCAAAACAAGCCATTAGAATATTATATAGTATTATAATACTGAAGGAAAAACTAGGAACAAAAAGAGATTCCATTTTCTTTTGGGTTATATTATATTGAGACATAATTAAAAAACCGGTCGGTGGGGGGAGGGCGGGGTGGACTCTCTTTTTATTTATTTTTTTTACTATTGTATTTCTACTCTATATTTTCTTTTTTTTCTTCTTCTTTCCTCTTCTCTCTTTCTTCCTTTTCTCTCTTTATATTGGGAGGGAGGGGGGAGGGGCAACAACACATAAAATAAAAGATATTAGGGTTATTTTAGAATTGTGATTTATTTAAGCTCATTTGCAATATGCCTTTAATTATATCCTGCACTTACTGTTATTATGTCAGTTGTTTTAGCTACTTTTTTGTTGTGCGCGAGGGGGGATTAGACAGAAATGAGGAATAGAATACATTTTTATTCAGAAAAGAACAAAGAGGACTGAACAAAAAAACCCAAATTCATCGTGAGCTATCTACAAAGGCTTGACAAGCACCCAAATGTCTCTTCCGGCGCGCCCGGGGGGGGGCGGGGGGGCGTTTTCCACTAGCTGGCTCAACATGATCTCAATCCTATTTTTTGCGTATAGGTGTAATTTGTTCGTGCGTCTGATTTACTGTCAGCTGTATTTTTTTGTTTTGCGACTATCTTAACCGTCACCTCGACTGCGGGATGAATATTTGTGTATTCAGTTAGCGGTGACTTACATAGGGTTTTTTTTTTTTTTTTTTTCACCAACAAACTGCTGTTCCGTCTTTACTCGTTATGAAATATATCTCACTGTAATTTCCTGTTTTGTTTGCGATTGTTTGCCTCCTTTTACCATCTTCAACAGAAGCGTGGTTTTTCTTTCCTAAAGGATGAAAACAAAGACCTGATCATGTTAGTTTCTTCACAGGTGTACTGGTGCCTGGGAGAAAGTAAGTGTGTTCACTGCTTAATGATTCCCCAATTTTTTTTAAGTGAGCTGCTCCAGAAAAGGATAAACAACACCCCCTTTGTTATCATTCGTATACTTATCGATTAGACACATCAGGCCAAGAAGTAGGCTAATTAAAACATGTTTTTTTGCAAATAAATACCCACAGACTTATAGCTAGTCTATCACCTTGGCTACAACTGCACTAATTATCATCTCTCCTCAGAACAAATTAAGAAAAAAACAAACACACCCCCCCGCTTCTTTCGTTCTTTTTTCGTCGACTCTTTTTTTTTTTTGTTTTTGGTTTTTTTTTACATGTTTTAAAACAGGGGTAAATTTAGTAGTGGAACTTTCTCCGGTTTTTTTTTTTTTTGGCACTGAAAACTTTTTTGGGAAAAAAAAAAAAGGGCCCCCCCCCCTACCCCCTAACCGTAAAACCCGGTTTTATTTTTTTGTTTGGGTTTTTTTTTTTTCCCCTTTTGCTTTTTTTAAATTTTTTCATTAGTGAAAAGAAGAAGAAAAACGGCAAAAAAAAGAGGGCTGGGGAAAAACAACCCAAAAGGGGTTCTTTCAAAAAAAAAAAAAAAAAAAAGAAAAAATTTTATTTCCAAGGAAAAAAAACCAAAGGGGGGGGAGGGGGGGGGAAAAAGGGTTACAAAAAAAAAAAAACCCCCCTGGGAAAGGGGAAAAAACCGGTTTTTTTTTTTTTTTTTCTTTGAAAAAAAAAAAAAAATTCTGGGGGCCCCCGGGCGAAAAAAAAAAAGGGGGGGGGTTTATTTTTTTGAAATTTAAAATTGGGGGGAAAAAAAAAAAAATTCTGAAAGCCCCGCCACCTTGGGGAGGTCTTGTTTTTTTTTTTTCTTTTTTTAATACCTTGGGGAAAAAAAATACTTATTATGGGAAAAAATCCAAAAGGAAGGCCCAAAAAAAAAACCCGGGCTGGGGGGTTTTTTTTATTTTTCTTCAGTTTTTTTTTTTTTTCTTTTTGGGTTTTGAGGAGATTTTGGGGTTTCTTTTTTGGGGGCCCCCCAAAGGCCCTTTGCTCTTATTCCACAAAACCCCCTGGGAAAAGGGGGGAAAAAACCGTTTGGGGTTTTTTTTTTTTTTCACAAAAGGGGGGGGGGGAAACTAACCAATATCAATCTTGGTATGGAGGAAGGTTAATATTATGAGTTGAGAGGATTATAGATGGCGTAGTAGCCGGTGATAAGAAATAAATACAAGCTAGTAGTCTGTGGGATAATTTTTTGCAAAATCTGCACCTCTTCTGTGACTTATCGTCTCATACCTTGAAGTGTGTCGACAATATCGGGCCGCAGCATGTATGATGTCACACAGGTGCGAGTGCAGAAGAGCTCCACCATCTCCTCGTCGCTTTTATTGTGAACCATGTTGGACATCGGTAGAGAAATGTGGCACATAGTGCACTGGAAGGAAGTCTCAATGCTCTGTGGATTAATAGAAAAAAAAA